TAGGTAAAATACCCTATATTCTCCTTTCTGTGTTGCCGAAGAAGAGGGGCGCAACACCATTTTGCACAGAACACCTTCTGCGTTGGCGGCCTTCGGCCGCACTTAGGGATTATAACCCTTACTAAGCAGAATTCTCCTTTCTGTGTTGCCGAAGAAGCGGGGGCAAAACCTTTTTGCACAGAACACTTTCTGCGTGGGCGGCCTTCGGCCTCGCTTAGGGATTATAACCCTCACTAGGTAGAATTCTCCTTTCTGTGTTGCCGAAGAAGAGGGGCGCAACACTTTTTTGCACAGAACACCTTCTGCGTTGACGGTCTTTGGCCGCGCTTAGGGATTATAGCCCTCGCTAAGTAGAATTCTCTTTTCTGTGTTGCCAAAGAAGAGGGGCGCAACACCTTTTTGCACAGAACACCTTCTGCGTTGGCGGTCTTCGGCCGCGCTTAGGGACTATAACCCTCACTAAGTAGAATTCTTCTTTCTGTATTGCCGAAGAAGAGGGGCGCAAAACTTTTTGCACAGAACACCTTTTGCGTTGACGGCCTTCTGCCGCGCTTAGGGATTATAGCCCTTACTAAGGATTATAACCCTTACTAAGGATTATAACCCTTACTAAGAAAAAGGTTTTGCGCAAAAATACTGTGGATGGCGTAGCAGGAATTGGTCCGACCAGAGTTATTTTTTGAAATACTCTGATCTGCGAGGATTAAACACAACATGTTGTATACCAAACGAAAGCTTCATTTGTGCACTATTTATTAATAAGTTTTTTAACTGTAATTAATGCGGTACTTTTTAAAGAAAAATGTGTTTGTTTAAAATTTTTCGTAACTTTTTTTACATAAATTGGATTTTTGCTAAAACTTAAGAAGTTATATATAACGTTTACATATGTAGTTCAAGCGACTCACATTTCCTTTTAATGATATCAAAGATTTTAGAGTCCGTGCGAAGGTTTTCGAGATATTTGGATTTAAAAAAGCGCTCCATTTGACCTTTGACTTTTCATAACTGCCTTAGTTGTTGTTTCTGCATTAATAAAAGTATATTGTTTTATTTGTCTCAAAAACCTCTATCAACACTCATACCCATTTTTTAGTTTTTGCAATGTTCGGATTCTTAACTTATACCTTTAAACAAATCAAAAGTAGAAAGACCTATTTCTGGGAGAAGTAGCAAGAACTTGCAATTAGGATAAACATATGATTGCGAGACATGGCTGGATTTTTTGTGGACGATAAATTGAATAAACTAGTTAGTTAAATTTAAACACTTACAAACTTAAGCGTTTTTAAAATGAAAAATGTAACTAAATCCTGGTTTTCTTAATTAATTTAGTTGATTCCAATGATTTGAAAGGTACTCGGCTGAAAAAACTGTGTTCGTAATCGGAATGCAATCTCAACCAGACTAGTGTTGGTTTTTTAAGCTCAAGTTGGCCTACGGTTTTTGGAATTTAAATAAGTTCTCAGCAAAGCATTTGATTTCATTGAGCGAAATGTCAAATCAAAATGTCACGCAGAACAAAAATTGGAAATTGAGTTAACTTTATACGCACGCCGTTCATACAAATTGTATGTGCAGGAGAAATTTTTGACAGTAAATTGGCGGCGTGCTTGAATATTATTAGCCTGTTAGTCAAAAATGGAAACATCCATATATATTTGAATTTTAAGAAAACAAGGCAATCGGCTAATCGGCTAAACCAAAATGTCTCCGGCAATTTGCTATCGCAACCGCAAAAGATTAAAATGGCAACACTGTACGGGACATTTGGGAAAAGACTTGCCCAACTAAAACTGCTCGCTAATCTTTAAAATAACATAACTCAAAACTGCGATGTGTTATAATGGTATTTTAGTTGCGATCCCATACGAGTCCGGACTAATCAGAAATAGTCAGATTTTACTGGAAATCGATCCCGTACTGGGTTCTCTTAGTATTGAGTGGATAAAAAAGAGGGTAAATAAGGTAATTTCTCTGTCAGAAAATACCAGTTCTAGTGGGACGTTTTTTTGCTAGTTGATTCTGGTAACTTAAAGGGAATTTACATGAGGCGATTTTTAGTTGAAAGCAACAATCGCCTGGTGTAAACGGCCTTTCAACTAATCGCTTTCAATGAAGTTGATCGGCTGCCTACTTTTGTTCAACTTTTGGTTCAACTAATCGGCTGTGAAAGTTGAATCATGTAAATTCCCTATTAGGGTTTACACCATGATCCAACTACACAAGATCTGACCAGATGAAGCAAAAGAAAAAAGTAATTTTCTGGCTGACGTTTGTAATTTGGGCGCCATGTTATTTTCTTTGAAAAGTAAACAAAGAATATGAAGACGAAGCATAAAGAAAAAATGCAAGCAATGTTGTAGCACATGTTTGTGTTAACCAATTTATTATTTTTGTACGTGTTTTTGCATCCAATCACCGCGCACTTCACTTTAATTACATTTGCACAAAAAATTTATTGAAAATCGCTTAAAAATCACTGAAATAAAACACCGACAAAATACACATAAAGAAAGGAGCAAAACAGAAATAGCAAACTTAAAAATTACAAACGTCATACACTTTTTTCTCAATTGCCATTACAAAAGGCTGCTTCTCAACCGGTCAGATCTGTTCTAATTGGTTCATGGGTTTATACCGACCGGACAATACTGTCATGACAATAGGAATGTTTGATATCGTATCGATTATTATGAATATCGATATATCATGGCACGATAATCGATTTTTTGAATCGATATTCCAAGGTCGATATATCGAAGACATCGATACTTTACCCGCAATATCGATATTTAAGTTGAATTTTTTTTTCATCTACAAAAAAGTGTATGGGAAAATACTAAAGAAGGTTTAATCAGCGCTTGTGTGAATTATTTAGCTATTACGTTTGACAAACCACTTGAGTCGACCGGCATGCCGTTTTAATCCTCAGTAAATATACAAGTTGGAAATAACACAATTAGGTGAGTTGATAGGCAGGTCTAATATTCTATTCAATTGGAAGCATGATTTTCAACATCGATTTTTTCGATATCGATATTGTTCAGCCCGATATATCGCCATATCGATTTTACATGCAATGAATTAATTCGATTCATGATATCGATACTTTCTTAAATATCGAACATTCCTACATGACAATAGCAATAAATGCATACTTTTCCATTGGAACAATTTTGGCAACTAATACGTATATCTTCATTATCTTGACAGCATTGTCCAATGTAAAAGGTTTGTTCTTAACAGCGGTCGTCCCTCGTATTTCTGCCATGAAAAACAGCTTCTCAAAATACAATCGCCGTTCGGAGTCGGCGTAAAACTGTAGGTCCCTCCGCTTTGTGTGACAACATCCACAAATCGGAGAAGAAGCTCGGCCAAACACTAACATATGTGTAAGCGCCAATCTATTATTATTATTATTGTCCAATGTAAACGCGCCGTAAATGTGTCAAACGATCAATCGTATTGTTTTTGACAACCAAATTATAACAAAAGAAAATTGTACTCTGCCAACATGATGCAATAATACAGGTGTTATCAGTTGGCAACTTCTCGCTCTAATTCCGCCATATTGACTGCCTTAGGTGAGACAGTGTTCCTTCTTTAACAATTCTTTGCCTAATAATATAGTTGAATATTTTTTTATTTTTTCTCAGTATACACATTTTTTTTCTTAAAAAGGTATTTTATCTTATTTTATTTCCTTTCATTACGAATATACTATAAAAAAGCAAATTTTGTTTAGGAAAAAATGTGAAATTTTATATTTTTCCCCCAAATGGGGCTTAATTTCTTCCCGTTTTTCTTCTCGTTCTACTGAGCTAAGGCAGTGTCAAATCGAGCTGTCACAATTGATACCACCTTGTATTATTGCATCATGTTGAAAAGTATTTTTTAATTGTTTAAATGGATTCTAATGAATTTGAAGGTATTTTTGGTTATTTACATGTGTGAGCTGAGTGTATTTACATAAAAAATAAGCAAAAATTCACAACCAAAATATGGAGGTTGTGTTGAAGTTTTTGGACTTTTACCCCTTTTGAAGAAGGTGTGCGATATTTTTACATCAGTGCAAACCACTCTGCCCATTACTTTAGACCGCTCTGCTAGACTATAAAATTGTGAATGGGTTGCGCCTTAAATTACTACCCTTTATTATTTAAAAGGAAGATCTAATAAAATCGATTTATCGGCCAACCAGTTGGCTAACCGCTAGAAGTTGGTGGTAAATAAGCCGTGTGTAGGCAATTGGCAAACCTGCGTCAAGTTGTTATTCAGGTTGGAGTAAAATCAAAAATTTTTGATTTTTGAGGCAGATTGGTCAACTTGTTGCTCTGTGTGTAGACAAGTTGGCAACCTTAAATGCGATTTCATTTTTTTAAAGGCGCATCAACGTTAACATGTGTTTTTCGGTTCGTTACGCTAGTGAAAATGCGTATAAGTTATGAAAATGGGGGCGGTAGCAATAACAAATACATAAAAATGAGAAGCATTCCTAGCATAGCTCAAAAGTTTGCCAGTGGTGTTGTGTTGGTCACAGTTCAAAAAGTCTCACTCAAATGAATTCGGCCAACTGGTTGGTGCGTTTGTAGGGAATTTCGTTAAGTAGGTTGGTCTACTGGTAGGCCGATAAATCAATGCGTGTGTAGGGTCTTAAATGAACGCACGGGATTAAACGCGTCCACTTTATTCTACTAACTGACATAAACTGAATTGCGAACGGTACAAAACGATGAAAGCATTCCTTTCAAAGACATTTTCAATTGTATAAGCATCAATGAAACTCAATTTATTTTTTATTTGCCTAAGTTCAAACAGTATGCTCGCGATACATGTATGTAACATACGTCGTGAAACACAAAAAAGCTAACGGAAGTGGAAATTGTATTTCTATTATTAAATACTCTACACTTTTGTCAGTTGTTGCCTCACAAATATAATTATGCGGTAACTCGAACGAATCATTACTTTTTAGCTGGGTATTTCTTTCAACTTACTTAAAATTTCCAACTATTTTTCTTTGGTATTCCGGATCTTCATGCGGTGGGCGCGCCATATCACGGTGGCTGAGTGTGGGAGTCGATGTAGTGCTCGGCGTTTTGCTATCTTCATCCTCGTCTTCGATTTCCGTATAGTAGAATTCTTCTTCGTGGTCATTTTCGCTACATGATTCATCATAATCTGCAGAACGTCGTGCCTTTTTATTGCTGTAATTAGAAATATATTGCTAGGTTATGTAAGTATGTACTCACATATCGTTATAAGCATGAATATGTTAATGATTAAAAAAAAAAATTAAAACTTTGTGTTGCTGTAACAGTAATTGGCTTAAAAACACGTGAATAATTGTGCACGCTAACTGCCGTTTGTTTGCGAGGAGCATGAGTCTAAGAATTCGTGCATTCAAAATTTACGATTACAAATCACGCCAAATGGCACCAATACTTACAATATGCTATTCACGTACATATAAGTTTTTCTAGTGCTTTAATTCATCTCGTGTATGACGAACACAAAAATTGTGCATGCATAACTACTCTCGTGTGTTTTGGCCCATTCAAGGAATCTATTACAATTTGTACAATGCAACCTCGCTGGTTATAAGCAACTGCTAAACAGAGATGGCAATGTTATGTAGAGCAGCTACACAGGTATTGCTGTGCCAACAGTGAGGAAAGAAATAACGCGATTGTTCATTTCGCATTCGTGTAGTTGATTTGTCGCCGTGTGGTGCTGCTATTAAAGTAAAGTTCTTGTTTTTGCGAATATATTTTGTGGGGAGATATATGCTATTGCAAATAAATGCTAATAAAATAGTTTCAAAGTATGAAAAAGTTCTTAAAGTAGTTTCTGAGAATGAATTAGAGCTTTATGTTAAAATATTTGCTGGCAAATTTTGTAATCGAGTAACCTAAAACGTGTTCGCAACAAAGAAACCTCTGTAAAAGAAGAAGACAAAACGCCATCAATCGAAGGACGGCCAACAAAGCTGGGAAAACTGCAGACAGCAAATCAATAGCAAATAAAATTTAACCCATCGATAATTACAATACTGGTAGATATTTCTGACGGAAATATTAAGTGACTTGCGATTATATCCATTAATAATCTCCTTTCGATTTAATACATTAGCCCCAAAGTTCACCGTCACTATTGGGATTAAAGGTACTTTTGGATCAAGTACCTACATATATTCTTCAGCAATTGCGTCTACATATATGTACATTTGTATACTGTGCAGTCATTACTCTGGCATTGCAGCTTAGGCACTGCACGAGCGTAAATTGTTTTATAATCTAAGAAATTTAGAAAAGCGCATTATTTGGTTGGAGGAACGTAAAACGACGTCGTTAGCAAAAACTCAGTAAAGTCAATTAATAGTTAGTAAGACAAAAGAATTGTAGCGGCATCATTGAAAATTGTGGCATTCGTGAATTCAGAGCAAACATGTCAACAAATATCGATAACGCTCCTGACCGTGTAGAACGTAACAATTCGTCTTCATCCCTATGTGTATTAAACGCTAGTGGTCATTGTAAAACTAACAGTGGCGTATTTATAGTCTCCAACAATGGGGGCACCAGTGGTGGGGGTAATGGAGGTCTTGGTGCAAACGGCACTTGTAATTTTAATGGTGTCGTAATAAGCGAAGTTGTTGATGAAGCGAAACTTAAATTTAGTAGCAAATATAAAAACAGTTGTACGCTACTATGCATATACGATCCCCAAGGAGTTTTGCTTAAAATCACCCTTGGTAAGTACAGTACTTATTATTTATTAACACATATAAAATTATGATAGTGTTTTAAATTTTTAAAATTGTATAATCTTTGCTCTGCTAATGCACATATCTCGCTTTTTTTAGATAATGATACTTCGAATGTACTCAAAGAGTACTTGCTTACTTACGACACAGATGCTGCTCAAATAGGTCGCCAAACGTTTGCACTTTCTTTGGATGGTGATAATTTACTTATGCGCTTTACATCAGTTTATGGTAAGATATAAATATTACACATATATATAGTAACAAAAATCACTAACACAATTAATTGGATTTTATAGAACAGCAGCGGTTTCGAAAGTTAGTCGATAGCGTAAAACATCTCCGACCAAAATCAGTATTTTCACAACGAACTGAAGAGTCTTCCGCTTCACAGTATTTCCAATTTTATGGGTATTTGTCGCAGCAACAGAACATGATGCAAGATTACGTTCGCACCAGCACATACCAGCGCGCAATACTCGGCAATTCTCTTGACTTTCATGTAAGAAATTTTTGCCTTAAGCTTTACATAAAATACTTATAGTTTACTTCATCTTGCAGAACAAAATAGTGTTAGATGTGGGGGCTGGTTCGGGTATTCTATCGTTTTTCGCAGTTCAAGCGGGGGCTGCTAAAATATATGCAATAGAAGCATCTAATATGGCACAATACGCACAGCAACTGGTAGATTCAAACAATGTCCAAGACAAAATTTTTGTTATGCCTGGTAAAATAGAAGAAATTGATATTCCTGAGATGGTTGACGTAATTATATCAGAGCCAATGGGATATATGCTCTATAATGAGCGCATGCTGGAAACGTATCTGCACGCCCGAAAATGGTTGAAACCTAATGGAAAAATGTTTCCTACACATGGTGATTTACATATAGCACCTTTCTCTGATGAATCACTCTATTCAGAACAATACAATAAAGCCAACTTCTGGTATCAGTCTGCGTTCCATGGTGTCGATTTAACTACGCTACACAAAGAAGGCATGAAGGAGTACTTCCGTCAGCCGATTGTCGACACTTTCGATATACGTATTTGTATGGCAAAATCAGTGCGGCATGTTTGTGATTTTCTCCGAGACAATGAGAATGATTTGCACAATATAGGTATTAAAATCGTAAATAGTATTACTTTATGGAATGTTAATGTTTTTTTTTGTTTACTTCAGAAATACCTCTACAGTTCCATATTTTGCAAACCGGTATCTGTCATGGTCTCGCCTTTTGGTTTGATGTCGAGTTTTGTGGTTCTAGCCAGCAGGTTTGGCTCTCTACATCGCCAACAGCACCACTGACGCACTGGTACCAAGTCCGTTGTCTACTACCAATGCCTATATTCATAAAACAAGGTCAACTTTTGACGGGACGTGTTTTGCTTGAGGCAAATCGAAGGCAGTCTTACGACGTGACAATCGATTTGCACATCGAAGGAACCTTAATATCATCCAGTAATACATTGGATTTAAAAAATCCTTACTTCAGGTACACAGGTGCCCCGGTTCAAGCACCACCTGGAACTAGTTCACAAAGCCCATCAGAGCAATACTGGTCACAATTGGACGCCACCCAGGGAGTTAGAAATGGTAATTATGTTGTATTATTTTCTGGATCAGTGTACTAATTTATGAATATGCATTTTATCTTAGCAAACAACTTAGCAAATGGTATAACTGTTAATGGGCTTTCGGAAACTTCAATGGACATCACTCATACGCTTATGAATCCACACAATTAAATGAAGCATATACAAATACTGGCGAGTTAAGAAGAAAAACAATTTTAAATTTTTAAGTGAAACGCTTGGTTTATCACAGTACCAAATAAGTTATCATTCATGCATCAAGGTTAACTCTAATCTAATATTTATTTTTTGTTTATGATAAATGCTTGTAATGCTCGGTAGGTACACACAAACACAAAGGACTTTTAAAAATGGACGAAAATAATGCTTTAGAAATTTCTTTTGTGATTATTTGCCAGGAATTTATATAATCTCGAAATAATTGTTGTAAATACACGTATACAAGTAACATTTATTTTAAGTGCAACTATTCATACACCAACCTATAGAAACTGTTTAGTAATATGAAGAAATTGCAGTGATTGGCGTTATATGCTAAACATTAAGGAACAATCATGGCAGACTAAAAATGTATAGATGTTGTGCTTCTTTAGTAGCACTTGCACTAAATAAATCATGTGTTGAATTACTCATATAAAATACAAAGTAGCTTAAATGCACGCGCCCTATGCTCATAGCTATGCGAAATTTTTAAGGATACTTTTTCGTGTAATCAAAAAATATGTTTATTACAGTAGGAAAATATGGTAAGCGCTTGAATTAGATTTGAAAAAATTCGAATTATGTTGGCCTAAAAATTGAACATACCCCGCGTTAAAGTTCGATTGGTAAAAATTATTTCCCAGGGTTAGTAGCTAAGCATTTTACGCATTTACATAACGTTTTATCCTTAAAGAGACTGTATCTGTTCACGTATTTCAAGTTTAATTAAATATTTTTAATTTGCTGTGCTTTCGTTTACAAACATTTTTGTTTTATTTTTTAGCCCTTTAGAATTCCTTCATCGCCCGCAAAATGAATTCAATTAGTTAAAATTTAAATATTTATACTTATTTATATTAAGCATATCAATAATTTCCATCTTAGTTAAATTTTTAATTTTGGGTAAGACTAAAGAGCCAGGCGTTTTTTTGCTTTTATGTATATTAGCACTATACGTACCACGTTTTATCAATAGTCTTTATTAATATAGGCTGTAGTTCATAGTTCCTAGTTGTAAGCATCTACGTATCTCTAATTTTCATAAACATTTTAAAAACCGTGGCGAGCTGTTTACATTTAAGCATTAAATAATATAAAAACAATATTTAAAAATATATACAAATATGCTCCATGTATCCATGTATAAAACTACGCATTTCATATTTACATTATTCAACGAATTAAAACAATTTGTAAATTATTCCTTCTCCCCATTTTTCAAGAGTTGGAAATTGTAATCATTTACAGTTTTTATTATAAATATTTCCTTAATATCGAGCAAAATTCAATTACGTAGATTGTTAAGTTAATTTTTAAAGAAAAAAAAAATATACCCCTATATTTGAACAACAAAATTTCAAAGCTAGAATCTAAATAAAACAAAAACAATACTAATCCTACTTAGTTAGATATTTAATTTTTAAACATATGCATACATATTATCATTGTATTGTATAACCATTCGATGTTTAAGTATATGAGAAAGGATGATATTGAAATAAAGTCCGCTTTGTATTAGTGTGCAGTGTTGTAAGATCTATATCTATAATTATAAACGCGAAAATAGATTTGAATGAAAAACAACAATTTGATTTTTGTAATTACTCGTCTATGTTAATGTAAAAACCTTGGACGCATGTAATGC